CTCTTTTAGGGGAAAAAGCTCTTTTAGCGTGCTGAGGCGCACAGGGGACATGATCATCTGCAACACAAACAGGGGGTAGTGCAGCCTGATGTGTGCAACCCACTCGACACGGGAAACCACCACCGCTGAAGCGCCGTCCGCCAACACGAAGAGCTCTCTAAGAGTGCGCTGAACTCATTCAGTCTTCTTCTCTCAGTAGAGTAGTCAGGAGCAGAACGATGTGATCGCTCGGCTCTGAAGCGAAAAGCTGAATATGCGCTGCATCTGCTGCCTACTTATACTCACGCTGTGATCAGCAGCAGCTGGATGCAATAATCGCATGCCAATGTGCATTGGCTCGTTTAGTTTACACTCGAAGTAGATTGGTCCCTCTAAGCGAGATCCCAATTTTGTCTGTCATCCGACGTGACGTCGAGAGTGACCGACTGAAAGGGAACTGCACACTAAAGTGAAATACCAATTTAGTTTTTATTGTTATGCCTTACAGTAAATGACTACTTTTGTACAAGGATCAGACTGGTTATTAACACTTTGACCAGGCACAGTATATCCGTGTCTCTGGAACAATGGAAAAGGTCTGGAAAAGCACAGCACATTACCTGTGAGAGTGTTGCCTCCCTTGTATGGCAGGTTTTTGACAGCATCTATTACTGCATCTTTTGTGCTGAAGCCATTCAAGTGCCACTCAATTCGTGGATCCCCGCTGTACTGGGCCAGTCCTAAAACATAAAAAACACATCCAAGGAACACACTGACACGTTATACATCAAATCTAAATTGAAAAGCACTTTATAGCTGTCTAAATTAATATATGATCCACTTATTATACATCTATTTTTAGGTCAGACCAATTATTACAAGTGAATAATAATTAATTAATGGAACCCACCAATCCGGGTTTTGTCTATTCCCACATCGAAGGCACTGACCAGGTTTTCAAGGAACATGCGAACCAGACGGAAATTGATTCGCCCAATACTCCAAGATCCATCGACCAGGATGACAATATCCGCAATTGCAGAAGTTGTGCAGACAAACTGATCCACTGGATTATGAGAGATGAACAGAGAGACAGAAAAAGAAAGAATGAACCTTGTTGCACATATACAGTCCCACATGTCTATAGATCCAAAAATATTGTCCTCTGAAGAAACAAACAAACCCAGCACCATATCACAAATTACACTGCCGTCTGTGAATGCAGGTACGGTTTTATTGAGCCACTCTGTCATTGCACAAAGTATCATCATAGGGCAGGGAAGAACATGATTGATTTATGAACACAGCAGTACAATCAACCAAATCAAAATTATTTTACTCATACAATTTTAACAGAGCAGCTCTGGGATCCACACTGGTTAGAGACAACTGATGGCATCTTGAACTCGAACAAATCATGTGTGTGTTTATGTCTCTCAGAGTGTGACGGTAACTCCTGGCAGTCCCACTGTGCAATAACTACATATCCACACACAGAGGGGGTAAAGTGATGAAGCGTCAGTACGGGCAGTAAATCTGAGGAGCGTAGGACCACAGAGCTCAGTAGTGTATCATGGGAGTCTGTTTTGTTCCTCCCTCAATCATTTATTTTCATAGAAGAACTGGCCGTCAAAGCCTTATAGCATGATGCAAGTCATAGCTATAAGAGCATTAGTCTTTGGCACCATCAACAGAGGGCTGAAATACAGAACAGGGACATTATCCAAACTCAACTAGTCCTGAACATCAATACAGAGCAATCTGTTGACACAAAAATGGCAGTGAGGAGTAGAGAATGGAGACTCTTAATCCATGGCTAATGTCATTTTTCCATAATCTTAAAAGTGACTTATTTACATTTAAATGGACAGTTCACCCAAAAACTGAAAATGTTATTATTATTTACTAACACTCATGTCACTCCAAACCTGACTGTCATTCTTCCGTCATGGAACATAAAAGGTGAAAATGTTTTCAGTGTAATGGAAGTGAATGAGGAATTTAAAAAGATGAAAAAGGTTCATGAAAGTAGTCCACCGAACATATATTCCATGCGATTCATATGATATTTCTGTGTGAGGCACAGACCAAAATGTACATGCTAAGTGTTGGGACTGGAGTCAAACAGTTGAACTGGAGACAGAATCTCTCATTTTAAAGAACGATTTTCATAGAAAAGATTCACAAATTGAATATTGCTACTTCTGGTATGAGTTCATGAGCGTGTCAAGAACAACTGGAATGAATGTGAAATTTTCAGTGAATAAGGATTTAAATTTAGATTTATTTTCAAGTAAATAATGATTTCAATGTTAATCTCATGTGAAAAGATTTTCCATGAATAATGATCTAAATTTTAATCTATTCTGTGAAGATTTTTAGTGAGTAGTGATTTAAATTTTGGTTTATTATGTGAAGAGTTTTAGTGAATAATGCTTAAATTTCAATCTATTAAAGATTTTCAGTGAATAATGTTTAAATTTTTAGCAATAATTCTTTCTATTTCTTACATAAAGCTATCGTATGACATTAGAAGACTTATACAGTAGCACATAAGTCATATATACCACTTTTATGATACTTCAACTTTCTTTATACTATATTAAAAAAATGAAAAATCAGGGTAAGTAAATTAAGACAGAATCTTAATTTTTAGTTGAACCATTACAGTAAAGACAGGTACTGAAAAAGCCCATCTTGGCAGGCAAATCTATTGGGCATGTCTGTCGAATCAGTTTAGTTTTACCACAAGGAAACGATTTGTCTCTGAGAAAAGACTCAATAAAACCGCCATTCAATCGCTGCGAGATCCGGTGTAATAATCAAGGAACTTTTCTGCCATACCATGGGTGCAGCAGGCGCAATGATATTATGCAGCGCCTGAAAATAGTCCCCAGCATGCTCCCTGTGCAAGCAGGTGGTCACGTTGGTTATGTTGACAGAAGTTAGCCTATTTTCAGGTGCTGCGTAATATCATTGCGCCTGCTGCACCCATGGTACGGCAGCAAAGTTCCTTGATTATTACGCCGGAATGAGAGTATAGTTCCTAGCCATATCGGCCTAGAAAATCGCAAATTTTCATTTTCCCCTCAGTCTTAGTACACGATGTAACTACAGAAGAGTCAAGTTTTAAATAGGAAAAATATAGAAATTCTTTGGTCATTTTTGAGCGAGATGCTAACGGTCTAATCAGATTCAATGATCTATGCTAAGCTGCAGCTAAAAGTGCTACCGCCAGACCCGGAGATCGGCTGAATGGATTCGAAAACAGTAAAACTCAACTTTTTAACTCTAGGGGAGTTGGAAAATGAGCCTATTTTCAAAAATAGTGGAGTGTTCCTTTAACTCCTGTGCTTCTTAATTCCACTCTACCTATTTATGTCTGTGAATAGCAGCGGCATTCGATCCACACCATTACACAAAGAGTGGCTTGTCAAGACACAGGTACCTTCTGCTGTTATCAGTGAGACATTGAGAGCCCCGGTATCACTAATCAATGTGAGCTCCTCTATCTGAGAGCACATGGCCGACTGTATCCTGAGATTCAGGGGTGAGGATTCATCAGACCCATCAGCGATCCGGCAACATCAATTCATTAAGCCCTAAGAGCCCCGGGACTTATCTACTAAGCAACAGACACCTCGTTGCCACTTTGGAAAACCCAAAAAGGTCATGCAATTGCTATAGGATGCCATGGAAGTGCTTGCTGCAATGCAGTTGCCGTAGATTGCAGCTGTTGGGCTGCACAAGCTCTCTTTCGGTTGCGGGACGTCCTCTGGGAGCTCTCAATCAAACATATGCTGGAGGAAGAGAAGAAGAGACATGCGAATGAGATTAACACGACAGACAATGCAATCAACTCTTCGCATCCTTCATGAATGCAAAATCAAAGCAGCGGTGATATGATATATACACTATGCATGCAGAGCTCTGATAATTATGCCTATTCTGGCTTCAGTTTTGTCGCCTGCGTGTACCGCGGCATCTCCAAACATGTGGAATATTCACTAGAGGTGAGAGTCTGCGGGCAGGTCCCGTGGCAGGTCACGTTTATTGTTCTCATTAAATGCATATTAAGATTAACTACTGAATAGACATTCTTGCTGCTCGTGTCAGAATCCTCATGTCAGGAATTTGTCAGCTATCTTCATTCCCTTGCCGTTGGGGCGTCTAGACTACTAATGTGGGGGAAGGAGAATTCTTGCTCTTTCTAGGCATCGAATAATGAGTAAGTTTTTAGCAAGCATGTCTTTTTGGCTACCTTTCAACTCTCTTTGAGGTGAAGTCATTAAGGAATACAGGGATGTTGAAGGGACAAAGATATAGTAAGCCTGGGGTTAGAACAGTCTGCGCGATATCTGGAGTGGTTCTTAATATGCTGACAATATCACCAAAATAATTATGCATGTGCTACCTACTGGCAGCTATTATGAAATACATCACACCCAAAAAGCATAGGACATTTAAGAAGTTCTTAATCTCAGGGTAAAAAGCCCATTAGGTTTTATTTTCTCCTAAACCTCTAAATGGCAACAAAATCTGTCCAATATTTAAGATTTTTAAAATGGTAAAATATTTTTGTTTTAATATAGAAAATGTTGTGTAAAATAAAATAAAATAAATTATTATATAATAATACTTTTTAGATAATACACACTTATTATTCAAAATTTCAAAAGTTTGGGATCAGTATAATTTTTCATATTGTGAAATATTATTAATACCTCTATACATTTTAATATATAATATATCCCTGTGATGTCATTTTAATATGTTGATTTGCTGCTCGAGAAACTTTTCTTATTATCATATACAGGTGCATCTCAATAAATTAGAATGTCATGGAAAAGTTCATTTATTTCAGTAATTCAACTCAAATTGTGAAACTCGTGTATTAAATAAATTCAGTGCACACAGACTGAAGTAGTTTAAGTCTTTGGTTCTTTTAATTGTGATGATTTTGGCTCACATTTAACAAAAACCCACCAATTCATTATCTCAACAAATTAGAATATGGTGACATGCCAATCAGCTAATCAACTCAAAACACCTGCAAAGGTTTCCTGAGCCTTCAAAATGGTCTCTCAGTTTGGTTCACTAGGCTGCACAATCATGGGGAAGACTGCTGATCTGACAGTTGTCCAGAAGACAATCATTGACACCCTTCACAAGGTGGGTAAGCCACAAACATTCATTGCCAAAGAAGCTGGCTGTTCACAGAGTGCTGTATCCAAGCATGTTAACAGAAAGTTGAGTGGAAGGAAAAAGTGTGGAAGAAAAAGATGCACAACCAACCGAGAGAACCGCAGCTTTATGAGGATTGTCAAGCAAAATCGATTCAAGAATTTGAGTGAACTTCACAAGGAATGGACTGAGGCTGGGGTCAAGGCATCAAGAGCCACCACACACAGACGTGTCAAGGAATTTGGCTACAGTTGTCGACGTCTAACCAACCAAACCAACGTCACTGCACCCGTTTACCAAGAATTTTTGGAGCACTTCATGCTTCCTTCTGCTGACCAGCTTTTTGAAGATGCTGATTTCATTTTCCAGCAGGATTTGGCACCTGCCCACACTGCCAAAAGCACCAAAAGTTGCAAAACTCAGCAAACTCACCAGACCTGAACCCCATAGAGAATCTATGGGGTATTGTCAAGAGGAAAATGAGAAACAAGAGACCAAAAAAATGCAGATGAGCTGAAGGCCACTGTCAAAGAAACCTGGGCTTCCATACCACCTCAGCAGTGCCACAAACCGATCACCTCCATGCCACGCCGAATTGAGGCAGTAATTAAAGCAAAAGGAGCCCCTACCAAGTATTGAGTACATGTACAGTAAATTAACATACTTTCCAGAAGGCCAAAAATTCACTAAAAAATTTTTTTTGGTCTTATCAGAATCAGAATCAGAATCAGAATCAGAAGAGCTTTATTACCAAGTATGTTTACACACACAAGGAATTTGACTTGACGACAGGAGCTTCCAGTGTAGAAGAAAGTACAAACATAGTGCAGACATACATGATAGTGTAGACATACATAGGAATAGCACAGTAGGGATGTAATA